AGCCAAACTGGCTAGGGCAGGATATGACATTTCTTAGCCCTCCAGCAGCAGACCTTCGTTTTTTTCGCCAGGAGTGTGGTGAAAAACCCTAGATCACCTTTTTGGATTCTTATTACCTAAGTTACTAAGAATATTACCAGTGGCATACAGGGAGCTTAGCCAGTGAGCGGTCAGAGAAGGTGTTTCCTCTGTAGTTCACACCAATCGCCGGCTTGGCCTCCCCAACCCCCCAGGCCTGACGCCTCTGGCCAAGGCATCAGGCCTGGGCAGGGGACCCCCATCTCCCCCACATCACTGGTTCTGCCCTCGCCCAGGCATGACACCTTTGCCAGAGGCGCCGACTCCCATCATCCTCTGATCACCGCCTCCGCCAGAGGTGTCAGGCCTGGGCAGGGGACCCCCATCTCCCCCCGATCACCGGTTTCTGGGGCTTCTGGGGTCAGCCTGTGGCCTGGATCGGATCCAATCATGATTGGATCCAATCCAATCCTGCCTGGGCGGCAGGCAGGCGGCTTCTGGGGTCGCACACGGGGGCCTGGATGGCAGCTTGCGCTGTCCTGCCCTGCCTGCAATATGCAAATTAGCCGCCATCTTTGTTGGCGGTTAATTTGCATATTGTGCTGATTAGCCAATGGGAGGCATAGCGAAGATACGGTCAATTACCATGTTTGTCTATTATTAGATAGGATTAGAACATAATTTCAATGTACCATCCCCCTCTAATGATGCTTAACATCAGAAATGGTATTCCGACAATGTCAACTTAGTCATAATCTATTTGGAATCAGACTTTCATATCAAGAAGCTACTTTAGAGATCATCTATTTCAGATTTTTTCTAACTATGCAGTAGTTTAAAATGATGGAAACAATGTTTTCCTATTTAAGTGCCCACGAAGGCCTTAATACACACATCCTTACTGAATTCCCACAGCCATCTTAAGAAGACAGGCACTATCACCTGAATGCCAAGAACAACTTGAACTTCTAGTGGCACACCCAGCAGGGTTGACCTTTCCTAAGTGTGCGTAGGTCCTTACAGATTTAATTTACTCTTCCCACCACTGAGGAAGAAGAGGACCCAAGCAGCCTGTCCAAATTCCTATAAGCTGTTAACAGAGCTGGGGCTAATCCTCATAGGTTTTTCATCCTTCTATAACAAAATGTAGTTAAATCTGATGGAAAGTGATAAGAAATTTGTATTATCAAGAATGACAGGTAAATGAAATATGAGAATGAGACCATAACTTACAAATTCCCATCAGTAGCAATATTTTTATATAGTAATTTTCTCTCTTCAATCTTAAGTCATCCTTTGAACAGCTAAGATTTGAGCTGTTTGTTCTGTGCCAGAGCATTTATATATTCTCATTTATGTCTCAAAAATCTCAAGGACAGGTACTACTATTCCTAGTTTGTAGATGGAGAAACTGGCATAGAACCTGCTTATTTTAAAGTCTTAGGTATAAAAACAGAATCTATTTTATAAAAATGAATTATGCTTGTGTATACATTTTAATAGTTTTTCCCCCTCAACTATAGATACATTTAAAAAATCATAGTTTTGTATTTTTTTAAATCATAGTTTGTGTTTTCCAACATGATTATGTGAAAATTTTTGGTAAATAAGTATTACTTACATACCACTATAATACCATCTAATCAAAATGCACATTCTTTCATTATCTGCTTTTTTCCAGTCTAAACTCTATCTAAAAGCTGTGGCCACAGAAAGTTCACAAATAAAGTTAGTAGCTAAAGAGAACTTACGGATCACCAGCGCCTGATAAATCTGTTCCATTTTCTTCATAATCTGGAAAAAAGTCTTCTCTTTCAAGTAACTCTTGATATTTCTCTTGGTAATCTAAGAAAAATGAAAATAATGAAAAAATTTAAATGCTGGAAAAATTCACAGGAAATATGTATTAGCCAGTTTTTCCTAAGAAATTTTAATATTACGACTTTTCATTTAAGTACATCCAAAGTTTAAACATCAGTAAGCTATGTATATTCATCTAGTACAGTGGTTGGCAAACTGCGGCTTGCGAGCCACATGCGGCTCTTTGGCCCCTTGAGTGTGGCTCTTCCACAAAATACCACGTACAGGCGCGCACGTACAGTGCAATTGAAACTTCGTGGCCCATGTGCAGAAGTCGGTTTTCAGAAAGGAGATAGACGAAACAAATATACAAGACAAGTGTGGATGGGAGAGTTGGAAGGGGTCGACCTCATCCTCAATCAGATTGAGGACGTTTTTAGCAAAGGCC